TAGTGGAAATAAAGACGTTAACAATTCAGGGTAATAAAGTGTCTATTATGCCATGTTCAAGTATTTAAAGGAAAAGATTAATCTAGTGAGAAATGGAAGATAGTTTTCAAAAAATAGAACTGATATCCAAAAATATTTACTGTATAAATTAACCTATTAGACTATATGGAGGCAGAGGATAAATAAACTGGAGGGCACAACAATATAAAATACCCTAGGGGTGCTGTGGAGGTGGCTCAGTAGAATAAGTGCTTCCCTGTCAAGCACAAGGGCCTGAGTTTAGTCCCTGGTTCCGAAAAACAAAACAAGAAACAACAACAACAAAAACCCCCAAAACTAAAATACCCTAGGGCCAGCTAGATAGCTCTGCAGATTAAAGTGCTTACTCAGGCAGATGCAGGAACTGGGAGTTCTATCCCTAGCATGCCATGCCAGCCCCGCCCCGAGGGTGCGTGGAAGATTTCGATTGAGACTGGGCATGGTGGTGTGTACCTGTAATCCCATTGCTTGGGAGGCTGAAAACTGGAGGATCACTACAAGCCCAATCTGTGTAGTGAGACCCTGTAGACCTTGTACTAAATACATTAAAAAAAAATCCCAAATAAAGCTAATGGGAAAATATGGAAATAAAATGAACAAATGCTCTGTGATGCATAAGACAATAATCTGTAGTCTACCAATCATATAACAAGAGTTCTTGAAGGGAGAAATTACTAAATCAATAATTTAAAAAATGTATAGCCAGATGGGGTGGTGCACACCTATGATCCCAGCTACTTGTGAGGTTGAGGCAAAAGGATTGCAAGTTTGAGGCCATCCAGGGCAACTTAGTGAGACACTGTCTCAAAATTAAAAGACCCTCAAGGGATATAGCACAGAACTCCTGGAATTCAATCCCAGAACTAAAAACAAAAAAATTAAAATTGGAGAAAATCAATCTCATGCCCAAGAAAATCAATTTCATGCAGAATGCAAAATAAACATAAAGATATGAAGAACTCACAACTAACATCCTCCTTCCTGGTGAAAGACCAAATGCCATCTTTTTAGTCCAGTAACAAGGGTGTCTGCCCTGAACACGACTATTCAACATTATAGTGTAGGTTCTAGCCAGTTCAATATACAAAGAAGAAAAATATTCAAAGAAATCCACATATGGATACATCATCATAAAAAATGTTGAAAGACCAAAAAAGAACACCTTGAAACTGTAAGAGAAATAATGGTTCGTTACTGACGAATAACTCCAGTGAAATCAACATATTATTTTTCATTGGAAATAGTGAAAGTCAGAAGGTAACATTAATATAATACTGTCAACCAAGAATCCTATACCAAATAGAGCTGTCTCTAAAAAATGAAGATGACAGGCCAGCCAATAGCTCAGTGGATTAAAGCTCCGGCAAGCAGGCGCAGGGGCCCAGGGTTTGATCCCCAGGTGTGCCCTGCCAGCCCTGCCCCGGGGTACGGTGAGAGGCAATTGAGAGAGACTGGGCGTGGTGGCGCGTGCCTGTAATCCCAGCTCTTGGGAGGCTGTAAACAGACAGATCACTCCTGAGTCGAATCTATTAGTAAGACCCTGAACACCCTGTAGACCCTTCCCTAAAAAAAAAAAAAAAATAGTGGCAACAGAACATTAAGCCAAACTTGGGAATCTTTTGTGGTTGGAGCTTTGTGCAACTGAACAGATTTGCTTGCCTGTGAAGTCAGTCCTGACAGCAAGTCCAATCTGTGGTAAAAGCAGGTCTTCTGCTCAGTCTATACACTGTAGTAGACTATGATTTTCCACATGTCAGTGGTGGAAAAAGATGTCATGGGGAGAAATCCTCAGTAGGAAAATCATGAGGCAGGCTCGTAAGGTTTGGGAGAAAGGTCTTGGCATCTGTAAATATGAACTACTTAGCATTGGAAAAAAGACTCGTAATGAGCTCTGAAAAAAGTGGAACTTTACTTATTTTTGGTACCAGGAGTCAACCTCAGGTCCTCAAGCTTGCCAGGCAGGTGTGCCATTGAACTACATCCCTGCCCCCAAAATGGAACTTTAAACTATGAGGCATGAAGTGACCATACTTCCTGATCTACTCCTGTGTTGGATCCTCTTGGGTCTGCCAATTAATTAAGTTGGTCAAGAACAGCATGAATTCTTGTAAGACCAAACAGTATATGCAGAACCAAATAGAACCAGAGGACATAAGTGCACGAATATGTAGTCTAGAATCTCACATCACTCAAGATGGTCACACCAGCACCCATCTCTCAGCTTGCTTTTAGGGTCATAGGACCAGATAAAGGAGGAGGAAAACCCTGGACTTTGGCTTATGGACACAACAGCTTGCTGTTATAGGAGCAAGGTGGAAAGAGAGGGTGGCTGCATTGCAGACTCAATTTGGATTAATTGTAAAAGATTGTGGTAAGAGGAACATATCCTAATGGACAGAGCTTTGGTGGTACAACTCTGTCCAGTTTGTACGGAAGAAGACATAGCTTGAGGTTAGAATAAATACTTTGTGTCTTTCTGTATCTGTCTCTGTCTCTTTCCCTGTCTCTATTGCTGTGTCTCTGACTCTGTGACATGGAGTTCTGGGTTAGTGGCAATGGATGAACAAAGTATGGGACAAGGTGTGAAGATCTTTGTACTATATAGTGATATCTCCTGGAAAATATTAATTACCCAAGAGGTACTAAAACAAATAAAACCAAATAGTTTAACCTTTTGATATTAGCTGTTATGGTTTGTGTCTAGTTGTCCCCCCAAAGCCTCATGCAGTCATGGGGTGAAGACTTCTAGAGTTTGTGTTAACACATGATCCACTGGGATTATGTATGATCCAAGGCTGGGATTATGGGTCTTAATACTGTTGGGATTATCCATAGGTGGGTAAATTCTCGGAAGTATCCATCGGTGTGAGTACTTCCCCTACCCTGGGGAAGGTAATTTGCATTACAATATCGGGTGGGAAGAGAAGCTAGCTGCTTGAGCTGCTGCTACCCCTCCCTTGCGCTCTTGCTCTTTGCCGCCACCATGAAAGGTTGCTTTCTGCTATGTGCTGCTCTGCGTTGGACCCAGCTGAGTATGGACTGAAACCTCCAGTAACTGTGAGCTAAATAAACCTTTCCTTCCTTCATTTTGAGTGTCGGGTATTTGTCCCAGCAACGAGAGAAGAGTAACTAAGACATTAGCCAAACTTTGTTACTGGCTACTCAAGTGCTGTCATGTTAGACACATCATTTCTTCTTTTAAAATGTTACTTTAATACAGGTGGGAGATCACAAATTCATTTCTAGCTGTTGCTCATAACATCTTTTCTATGATTGCGAAGGATAGTTACACCATCACTTGAAATACAATGTAGTAGTCAAATTAGATATTCAAGCATTCAGTTTTCTGGCTTGAATATGATTGGTATTTGTCAGTTTTCCTGTTGCTGAGACAAAACACCTGATACCTGCAATTTGATGGAGGAGGGGTTTTGTTTGGCTCTTACTTTCAGAGGTTTTAGGCTGTGGTTGGCTGGCTCTAAGGCAGAAATGGTGTGGTGGGAGGGCACCTGAAGGAATGCTGTGCAGTCCTTGGCGGGCAGGAGGCAGAGAAGAGTAGAGAGGGGAGCAGGAACACACGCTCCCAGGACATGCTCCCTCATCTGCCTTTAGTGACAGCATGTTCAGCTTCTGAAGAGCAGATTCATCCCCTGGATCTAGCCACTGATGGGTACAGTGCTTCCATGGTCTAATTGCCTTCCGAATGCAGGGACTTTCAGGAATATTTTAGATCTAAGCCATAATACCACCCAACATTAATATTTCTTACTTAATGACTGTCTGGTGTATGTTAATATGCATGTCCTAAATTTGTGAAGTTGGATGGCTTTAAAAAGCACTGACATTTCCTCTGTACTTCTCATCTTTTGGATTGAAAAATATAAGACTCTTTGTCCTATATAGTTACAGAATTGAAAACATATGCTGTACTCTAGTCAATCATATAAGTAGATTATAAACAGCAAAATTAAAGCACAAAACAGTTCTCATGAGGATAAACTGAAACGCAGCAATCACCTTTTATATTTCTTTCTTGATTAGAGGAAAAAGATTAACTGCTAGCAATTAAAAAATCCATTTTAAGAACAATTATAGCTTTCATCATAGTGATTCAGTCTTTTTGGTGTTTATTCACATGCTAAAAGTTTATCAAATATTGAGAGTCTTGGTAAAGTTATGTTGAGAGCTTGTTGTTATAGGTTTGGAAATAATTTAAATGATCCCAGTCTATACATTATGCTTTAGATTTACGTAAATTGTATTGCAGTAACTTGAACTCAGAGGAGCAGAGGTATTGTTTTTTTTTTTTTTTTTAATTTATTTATTTATTTTATTTATTTATTTTTGTGTGTGTGTCCAGCTCAGCCCACCAGGGGGCGGTGCTGGCTGGCATGTGGTGCTGGGGGATTGAACCACGGTCCACGTGTTTTGCTAAGCTTGTTCTAAGTAGGTGCTTTAGACCACTGAGCCATCTCACCAGCCCCTTGTTTGTTTTTTGAGTCTCACTGTGTATCCCTCCCTGGCTGGCCTTAGACTCACCACAACTCTCCTGTCTTAGCCTCCTGAGTGCTGAGACTACAGGCATGTTCCACCACCACACCTGGCTTTTGAGAGAGGTGCTCTTTACATATTTATAGTTAATTGCAAATTTATGACATCAATTTATTTCTATAACTATTTAAACATTAAGCCTAAATTTTCATATTAAAATACTGATCATAATCAGCAATACAATTAAGGTTCTTTCTTAACTTCTTACTGGAAGCTATTTAGAGCCTTTTTTTTTTTTTTGGCGGTACCGGGGGTTGAACTCAGGCCCTTGTGCTTGCTAGGCAAGCGCTTATTCTACTGAGCCATTTCCTCTCTAGTTTTCATTTTATTCAATTAATTCATAAAATATTCATAAAGTTAGAAAACCATAAAATAGTATTTGCATTATAATTTTAAAATTATGGCACCAGACAAGGGAAGTGGCCGCCGCCGGATCCGGAGCCGCCGCCGCCCCGGGGACCCCAGCACAATGCCGTCGGAGAAGACCTTCAAGCAGCGCCGCACCTTCGAACAAAGAGTAGAAGATGTTCGGCTCATCCGAGAGCAGCATCCCACCAAAATCCCGGTGATCATAGAGCGATACAAGGGCGAGAAGCAGCTGCCAGTCCTGGACAAAACCAAGTTCCTGGTCCCTGACCATGTCAACATGAGTGAGCTCATCAAGATCATCAGGCGGTGTCTGCAGCTCAACGCCAACCAGGCCTTCTTCCTGCTGGTGAACGGCCACAGCATGGTGAGCGTGTCCACGCCCATCTCGGAGGTGTACGAGAGCGAGAAGGACGAGGACGGCTTACTGTACATGGTGTACGCCTCCCAGGAGACCTTCGGGCGGGAGCTGTGCGTGTGCGCCTGAAGAGTGCACGGAGGTCCTGAGCCCTTGCCAAGGAGAGAAAAGGGTGATAGAACCGAGAAGGTGCAGCTCGCGTAGTCGTCAGGACAGTCTTGTTCCCACCTAGGAGGTTCAGGAAGTTGTTTTTGTATTTTATGCAGAAAAACTTGAGTTCCACTGAGCACACTTAGCTTTGGAAAGCTCTATTATTTAATCGCAGCTACCTTGTTTTCAAAGTTTAGAAATTTAAAAATAAAATACTTTGCATCCTAAAAAAAAAAAAAAAAAAATTATGGCACCAGGAATGGTGGTGCACACCGGAAATCCCAGCACTTGGGGAGCTGAGGCAGGACAATTGCTGTGAGTTTGAGGCCAGTCTGGCTACAAAGTGCGTTCAAGGGGGCCGGGGAGATAGCTCAGCAGTCTAAACGCCTGCCTGGCAAGTGCAAGGATTCGAGTTTGATCCCCGGTACCGCATGCTGTGTGGGCCCTGGAACTGTCTGGGCCCACTGTGCAGCTCTGAAACCAAGCGTGGTGGCTCATGCCTGTAATCCCAGCACTGAGGAGGCTGAGACAAGAGGATCACTAAGAGTCCATGCTGCATAATGAGACCCTGTACCGACTGAATAAATAAGTAAATACTAAAAGTGAGTTCAAGGGCGCAGGGAAAAAAAAGAAAAAAAAAGTGAGTTCAAGGCCAGCCTGAATTGCATAGAGAGACCCTGTCTCAGAAAAAAAAAAGATTTATATATATGGCTATTTATATATATGGCTATATATATGGCTTTCCACATATTAACTCCAGTTTCAAAGAGGGTCCTATTTCTAGTGGCAGTGTTCAGGGCCAAGCAGTCTTTTTTGTTTTTGTGGTACCAGGGATTAAACTCAGGACCTTGTGCTTATCAGGCAGGGGCTTATGCCGCTCAGCTATATCCCTGGCTCCAAGCACTCTTATGAAAGTGCCTTGAACTTTAAAGTGTCCTGGCCAACATGAAGCAGCACTATTGTTCAGCAGGTAGATTGCTGCCTCTTTTAGAAGTGTGAGCAAGTATTTGACACAATTAGACTAGCAAATACTCATCCGTCGTGAAAGTTGGCTGCTTCAGGCCATAAGAAAAGTTTAACTCATTCTTCCTGAGTTGACAAGTTATTTAGCTTCCCTGCCTCAGCTTCCTTATCTGAAAAGCGAGCTTGAAATAGTGCTTCCTTCCTTTTTGCTGCTTGTTTTATTTTAATTTTAATTTTTTGCAGAACCAGGGATTGAACTCAGGCCCTTGTGCTTGCCAGAGAAGTGCTTATTCCACTGAGTCATCTCCTTGGCCCCTGGTGCTTGTTTTAGTTACTCTCCCGTCTCTGGGACATGATAGCCGACACCACAACATAGAGGGGAGAGAGGTTTATCTTGCTTCATGGTTTTAGCTCCTAGCTGCTGGCTTCAAAGCAAAAACAAGAAGGCCCAGTGACAAGGGAAGAGGTGCTCCACCCAGGGCAGCCAGAAGCAGGGGGTGAGAGAAAACCTCTGCCCCTCCCAACAACGAGTCAGCTATAGCGCCCCCATAATCCAGTCACCCTCCAGATCCCCAACTCTGAATACACGATGTTTTGGAAGACATTTTATATCTAAACCATAGCATGGTGAGGATTAAGTGGGACAACTCACTTAAATCACTAAGAACAGTGTCTCACATGCAGATCAGTGCTAAAAAGTGTTGAGAGTTATGATTAAATCTACAAAAATGTCTGTTGACAAGGCGCACCTCGAAATTCTTCTACTGCGGCCTAGGTTGAAGATATGTCTCTCTTGAACTTGATTTTATCAGTTAAACCAGCTCCATTGCCTTAACATTTTGTTCATCTCACAAATGCTGTTTATTAAACCCTCCTTCTAGACTGGGTCTTGTGTCAGGGGATCAGTTGGTCTTAATCTAGGGCTTTGTTTTTCGTTGGAGATAGAAGTTCACAGCGTTCTTAAATCCCAAATCGGTGCCAGGTGTTCTGTGCTTTAGAAGTTATTGTCAAAAACCTGCACGAGAGTGGCCTCAAAGGCTCTGGGCTCCAGTGGGAAGGTGAGCCGGGCTGGGCGCTGCGCCCGGGTGCGGGGGAAGGCGCTCCTGGCCGGGGCTGGCGGCTGCTGTCTAAAACCCTCCCGGGCACCGTTCCTGGCTGGCGGCCGAGCGGGACACAGAGTTGCCCTCTTTCCTGAGTTAAATCACGTGCTTCAAAGTGAAGGTGGGAGCTGCCGAGCGCCCTCCCCCGCCCCGGCTGCATCCTGGTCCGCCCGGCCACATCCTGCTCCGGGCCGCTCCTTGCAGCTCCCGGGCGAGGCCGGGTCTCCGGGCCGCAGGTGTCCCCAGGTGGCCGGCGGTGCAGTGTCCCCAGCGGCTGGCCCGGGGAGGTCGGGGCTCGG